TTGAGGAGGAAAGTTCTAATTTCAGTCCACCCAAAACCCATAGTCCCAGAACAGCTTACACCTGTGGACGCGCCACAGCGGACACTACACCCCCTTAGGGAGCCTTCCAGCCCGCCCCGGGGATCTACTCCCCTGACCTCAGGCTGGGGGAGGGGCTGATTTGGAGGTCTGATTTTTTTTTTTTTTCCTAACTGCTTCCCTGATGAGTTCAGACTATTCCTTGCTTCTGAGTCCTACTGGGGAATGAGGCCTCAGTCCTCTGCTCCCAGTTCACAAGCACAGACTGTTTCCTGCCTACGTTCATACTGGCGTGCTGCCTCCTGAGCCTTCGGACAGCCCACCTTATACCAAAGTGCCTGCTCTTGGGCAGGGATGGGAGTTTCCCCCTAAAACCTAGATTGCCTTCAGCATCCTGAATCGTGATTCTGCTCTCAATCCTACAAACTTTTTTTTGTTCATACGAGGCCGCAATACCCAAGCAGTACATTCGATGCTGGATCCATATTATTCTCCCTGATCAGAGAGAGGCCTACTTGCTAGTTCCCTGAAGATTATCAGCTCTCTTGAGTGACAGGTGACTCAGCCAGCTGAAGGAATTATAACAACCTTTTGCCTCATTGCATCTGAGAGAGCATGATGGGTCATCAGTGGCTTTGCTGGAGCCATTCGAGAAAATTTGGCCAGGGTTCTCGTTCTTGCTGCGTCTGCTCAAACCTGCATGGTCTGATCTGGAAATATGGCCTCAATATGGCTGCCAGTGTTCCCGTCTGGACACAAAGGACATAGGTTTCATAAGCTGGACTAAGTGAACGTTCTTGAATGGGTCATTCAAGACATCTACCTTACTGCAGAAATAATGCTAGCTCTTTATATGATGGTGGCCCCCCAAAGAACCCCAGAATTACGCTCTGGAGGGCAGGCCCCATGTAGTACAGGCTTCTCCCACTAGGTGAGTGTTCTAGGAACCCATCTGTATCAGTGTACCAGCCGGCGTTGTTGTGAGAGGCTGTGTTCGGCTTCAGTGAATTTTTTTTGAAGACTCTTTCAATGCATTAGCCCATTTCATGGTGGGGGATTTACTAGTGAACCTGCCCAAACCATGCTGAGTGTTCAGTAGTTTTTGACCAAAAACGGCATGAACCCCTTGCCCCATACTCCCTATTCAACCGATCTCACCCTGAGCAATTTTTTTGTTTCCCTAGATAAAAAAGTCCTCAAAAGGAAACATTTTGCCCATGAGGACGAGGTGAGACAAACAAACAAACAAACAAACAAAAAAACCCAGCACTAAAAGGCATCAAAATTGACAAGTTCAAAAACTTTTTGAGCAGTGGAAAAAAGTCTCGATAGGTGTATTGCATCCAAAGGAGAGTACTTTGAAGGTGACTCAAGTTTAAACATATAAGAATGAATACACAATTTTTAATAAATAAATTTCTTTTGAGGGGTTCAATTATGAGTGTTTTCATGTGGGGGAAAAAAGTTATAACAAAAAATATAGAACTCTACTCGCCCTGCCTGTGCTGTGGCCTCAGCAAAGCTATACCCCTGCTGCCCCAGGCCTAGAAAAGTTGATAGTCAGTGCAGAGGACACCCAGGCTTTCTCATTCAGCTATGAAAGTAACATCGGACACGGAAAGCTCTGGGTTTGGGGAGGGTGGTGAGCAGGAAAAGGGATCACCCATGGTTTTGTGCATAGAGGAAGAAGCAGAGAAACAAGTCTGCCTCTGCCTGGGTCATCCACAGGGCAAACAGTCCCTGAGGCCTCCTCACCAATCAAGCATCAAGCCTGGCCTGCACTTGGCAGGACATGGCCATCCGGGTTGCTTCTGGGCCTGTGAAGCTGAGCGCCTTTCTTCATGGCCAAACAAAAGACTGGTAGGAATCAGTGGCTTTTTTCCACAACAAATTGGTCCAAACCCTTGGACACCAGCCCTTTGAGCCAGTGAAACTTGCTTTAAGGGTAGAGGTGAAACTGGCCATGCACCACCTTTCCCTTCTTCTCTGGCCCGTGGCCACCAGCAGTGGGACCCCAGACCCATGAGGTACTCCGGGCTGGTTGGCCAAGTGTTTATTCCCCATCTCCGCGGAGCTCCAAGTCATGTGAATCTACTTTCAGTGAGAGGTAATTTTAGACAATGGCTACAATTTGCCTCACTTGCTGCTGACCTAAGAGATGCTGTATAGGTATCTTTGGGGGACCTAGGGCTGTCTAGGAGGGACCTCTGGGGAGAAAGAGACAGGTGGTATGACAGCACACCCAGGTAGGGGCAGCCTCTGCCCAAGTGTAGTACAGGACCCATCATTCCTTCCTAACCAGCAACTCCAGCCAAACAGATGTGCAGGGCTTATGCAACCACATGTGACAGGCAATGCAAGGACTGTACCAACTCTTGATTCCTGAACATCCTTAGATTTCACCTCTGACCTATACTCCTCACATGATGGAGGATGGTGATGCTGGTGGATATTGTTACCTTTTCAGAGTAGTTTAGCTCCTGCTCTAGCCCAGCTACAGCCATGTCTTATTAGTAACTCCTCCTCCCTTGAGCTTCTCAGATGCCATATATCCCTCCTTAGCTCCTAGCTATACTCTGGCTTTGAAGAACATGGGTCAATGCCCTTTAAATACAAAGTTGCTTGCCCAGTACCCACCAGTGACAGTAAATCAGTTGGCTACTCCGAGTAGCTGTGTGGCCATACCTCCTACCAGCAATGGGATTATTCAGACTACTCATTGTTACCAAATTCACATACAACTCAAATCTACGTAAGACACACTGCCCTTCTCAACTTGGACCTCCTCATTTCATCCCACTCATACCATTTCTTTTACTTCTGGGCTCCAGTGACATACTGAGAGAACAGCAGGCCAGCTGGGGGCTCGACACCCAAGTGCAATATGATCGGGTCCCCCTCCAGTTCAGCACATACCCATTTGTGCCACTACCCAGAGTCCTTCAAGTGATGGGTCACCACTTCAGAGTGTTCTGACTCTGCCTACAACCATCCCCGTGAATCTAATTCCTCTTTAACTGCCCCTTGTTCTCTCTGACCCACTGACATGCTGCCGCAACCCTCCATCCTTGTCAGAACAGACAACTTGCGGTGGAGAAACAAATCGTACCACGAGGCCTGCTGGACGCCCAGTGATGCCGTGCCAGATAAAGTCGCCTAGGGAAACAGACACGGGAAACCACTTCTGACTTCTGGAATATGCTTGAAGAGTTTCAAGTTTTCCATCAGGTGAAACTCATCTCACCTATTGAAGATGGATGGGGGGAGAGAGATACCAGATTAATGTCTGTGTCTATAACTGTTCTCTCTCCATCTGTGACCTCGGCCAACAATGTTCCATAAAAAGGTCTCTCCCTCATGTACCATGGCCACATGGAATTTCTGCATGTGCTTTCTTGGATCTCCTCTGAACTCTGCTGTAGACCCTTAATTTTTGGATTGATTATTAGTCTCTAACTAGTTTCATGGACTAATTGTTTAGACCGTTGATTTCCAAGGCCACCTTGCCCAGGAGTGCCTGGGGGCCTGTCCCAACTTTGCTCTTGGGTCCAACGTTGGCTCTTAAGACCTCAGCATGCATCAGAGCTCGGGGCCCCTCATTCACCTGGAAGGAAGGGGTGTTTGTCCGTGTGTTGAGTTAGAAGTGCCTATGGAAATAGTCTGGCTCTTGTGCTTATGAAAAAGGTCTAAGCTGGAGATAAAGATCTGGGAGTCATTAATGCACTAGATATGGTAGTAGAAGCCACAAGTGTGGGTGAGTTGCTCAGGGAGAGTGAGCTTCATGAGAAGAGAACAAAGGACGAAGCATCGAGAGGACAAAGAGGAAAAGGGGAAAAGGTGCTTGCAAAGAAGACTGAGCAACTGGAGAGGCCTGTAGCAAAATGAGGAGAGAGGAGCTCCACTGAAACTGTGAAGAAACTTCAGAGAAGGAGGGAGGAGTCAGCAGTGTCAAATGCAGCCGAGAAGTCTTGTAAAATGAGGTCTGAATTAGATTCAACAGGTGTGAAGTCCTTGGAACCTTAGGACTAGCTCCTTCAGTGGTTGGAGCAAAAGCCAGATAAATTGTATGCTCTGCCCGGCAGCACAGAGAACGCTGAAAACCAAAAAAGGATCTCTCTGCCTATGTTGACTTGCTCTCTTTACTACCTTCTGTTTTCATTTGTTTCTCTTAGCGGATACACCCAAATATATCGCTAGTCTGGATCAATACAATAGTCCGAGTTCTATGTTAGTACCATAAAAACTACAAAAGTTTTTTCTGGTTCATATATAGTACTATCTCAGTTTACCTTCAGGTTCTGAGTTTGCAAGCTGGTAAACACTTTAATTGGTTCAATATAATATAAATTTAGCTTTTCATAGCAATTTTAGTCCTACATCACTAATTCCACGGACAACCACCAGCCTCAGCCTCCCTTGAGCTCTCCATCAAGACAGTCACCTCCACTTTCTATCACTGACCCTGATTTTTCTTACTCTTGACTAACTTCACTCATCAAAGGTTTCATTATTGAACAAAATATTTACGCCATACATTTATACCATGCTTTCACGTTCCTTTACAGAGCACCTTCCATGACATCTCACGGTACCTGCCAGGAGTAAACTGTGAGGGCAGTGGCGAGGCGCCTCCTGCCGGCGGCCCAGCGCGCTGCAGCTTCACGGGCGCGCTACTGCTCCGCTCCCGCCTGTCCGGAGCCACAAAGGAGGACTAGGGGCGAGTGCCAGCGCAGGGCTTCCTGGGAAATGTCTTGGGCGTAGGAGTTAGAACTACAAATCCCGGTGGGCACCGCGCTGCAGCACCGAAGGTGGGGGCGCGCTGCTGGTTCTGAATCTTGTTTATCAGTGCAATTGGGAACGCTGCACAAACCTGGTTCAGTATTCACAAAAGGCTTTGAGGAAACATAATAGTTGTGCCAGGTGCGCACGAACGGACTTGAATTCGGCAACTCCCTCGGACTTGCTCGAGATGGCGAATCTGTCGTTGCGGAGCAGCGCCTAGACACGCAAAGGCCCGAAGTGAAGCTCGTGGAATCTGCGGCGGGAGAGAGGACGCCAGGGTTTCTTGGGCAACTGCAATCATGGCGGCCACTGCGCCCGGTGCCAGCGGCTCCGCGCCTGAGGCGGCGGGTTCCTCCGAAGCCCCCCTGCAGTACAGCCTTCTTCTGCAGTATCTGGTGGGTGACAAGCGTCAGCCCCGGCTCCTGGAGCCTGGAAGCCTGGGCGGGATCCCGAGTCCGGCCAAGAGTGAGGAACAGAAGATGATCGAGAAGGCGATGGAAAGCTGCGCCTTCAAGGCAGCGCTGGCTTGCGTGGGAGGTGAGGCAAGGCGAGAGGGCGCCCTTGGGAGGCTGAGGGTTTGAATGGCAGCGGGGTCCTCTGGCCAGAAGACCGCGCGCCTTGGAGGCAAGGAGCTTGTGGGCCTCGACCTTGACAGCACCCCCGCCTCCTTCAGGGACCTCCAGCAACCCTCTCTAGAGTCTTTGGAAACTGGATCAGAGATGAGGCGCTATGGGTCGGGACGTGAACGTTGTAAAACAGTTGGCTTCGTTCATCATTCGTTGAGTAGCTTTTAAATAATTATTCTTTCAAGAAGTTGTTCCTGAGTAGCCGTCACGTGCCAGGCGGTGGAGAGACAGGGAGAGAGACGAGAGCCTTGTTCTCCCGAAACATTCTTAAATTTATATATCGAAGATTGTCTGCAGAAGAATGCTGCAGACATTGGGAACAGCACGTGCAAACGTCTGTTCGGGAGCTGGCTTGAGGTTTGAAAACAGGCCATGGTGACCAGTAGACTAGGCAGCAGTGAACAGAGGGGACAAAAGTCTGGACTTGGCTTTAAAAAACAAAACAAAACAAAAAAACAAAAAATCTTTTGAAACTATGAGAATGTACAGTCCCCCTCCTGTGTGCAGGGTAGAGATTGACTGCATTTGTAGATGAGCTGAAACCTCATCGAGAATGACAGACAAACGAATGTTGTAAGAGTGCAAATGTGAAGTAGAGTACAAAGAAGGAAGGAAGCATTTTTTGGTTTGGGGGGAAGGCCACAAGAGCAGGTGAGACTGGAGCTGTATCTTGAAGGATTGAGAGAATGGAGGTGGACAAAGAAGAGCAGTACCATTTCAGGTTGGGGTAGAGTGGGGGTTTTGGGCTTTCTGTCTATAGGCATTAGGGCAGTAATCGATGGTTTTTTAGGAGAATTAACAAGTGGTAATGAGCGTGACTCAGGCTGGAGTGTGGTGAAGGAAAGAAAAGTGGATAGGGAGACCAGACAGGAAATTTGCTAGACGGAAGGTTTATGAGGTACAGACTGGGTCTTAATTCATCATTGTGCGTGACCCTGGTGTATCACTTACATATTTGTTGAAATGAATGAGGCTTTGTAGTGCTCCAGGGTGGAAGTGATAAAGGCCCTAGACTAGGATGATAATTGTGGACGTGGAATTGTAGGGGGAAGCAAAGAAACAGAAATGCCCTTGAGGTTTGTAGCTGGAGTGGCTGGAAAGGAGGAGCCATAAGCAAGAACATCTGGAGAAGGTGCCCATGATTTCATTGAACGTACACAGTTGACTCTAGAACAAGATGGGCTTGAACTGTGTGAGTCCACCTCTACACAGATGTTTTTCAATAAATACCTGTACTGTTTTCTGTCCTCTGTTGGGATTTCACGGATGTAGTCGGCTTACCGTATGCACTGACGTACACCACTTTATATAGGGAACTTGAGCACCTGCAGATTTTGGTATTCATGGGAGGGCCTGGAACCAATGCCCCACAGATAACAAGGGACAACTAAGGGATATTTTTTTTCCTCCCTCAAGGGTAAAAATTTTACTTTTGAGGAACTTCATGCTGCACATTTTTAAAGAGTCACATAAGAGAGCAAAAATGTTACCCTCCTGTCATCCTAGAAATAAATAAGATGGGTGTAAAATTTCTTTTTAAATTATGACACTTGGAAATTGAGCACCAGCATCCAAAATGAACAAAGAGAGAGAGCGGGGGAAGAAGCATTTACCATATATTTCAGAGTTCTTTGGTTGGGCTTCTCCCCATGTGGTATTAATACTTAATCTTTCATGTTACCAAAATAGTAAAAACCAGGAAAAAAAAATATATATACCTAGTGGTTGCTGAAACTGGGAAGGTTGCTCTCATCTTCTGTGCAGGCATTCGCGGGAAAATTGCTGGCAACATTGACTGACGTTCTCCTTTTGTACTTGTTTCAAATAATTGTAAAAATTCCAATGCCCACATGTTGGTTATTAGTCTTCCACTTTATTGCTTTGGTGTTGGTAAGGTTGTGGTCTGCTTTTTGTTTTATTTTTTGAATGGTCATTAATTCTTTAGCTCATCTGTTAATGGCAAAGGTGCCTGGGGAGCCTGGTGTTGCTCAGAACTGCACTGCTCCATGGCGGGAGCAGGGTTCTTAGATGGCACTTCACCTGCCTTGGCCTCTTTGCCGTCTTGTGAAGGAGCGTTAGGAGGATGAGGGTGACGCCGATAGTCGTACGGCACCAGCATCCCGGGCGAGCAGATGCCTGGTTTGGACCATTGCTGCTTGTTCATTCTCTTTACCTTCAGCCTCTCCCACAGCTGGGGCGGGTCGTGGGTGAGGAGGTCCCCTACAGTACCTTGGCTGGTAAGCTGGATTTGAATGAACTGGGCTGTGAAGCTGCGCTTCCTGGGGGACTTCATCCTCCATCTCTCCGGTCTCACCAGCCTACATTCTCTTGGGAAGGGGAAGGCCTGTGAGTGAAGGTCAAAGGTCTGTCCCACGTGGTAGGGCGGGAACCCGGCTGGTACTGAGGGTGATACTGGGGCTGCACAGCTGACTGCAGGTCCCAGAGAACTGCCTGTCTGTGGCAGGGGGGTCATATTCTTCACTGATGCTCCTCCCTTCCTCCTCCCCAGCGTAATTACGGGGCAGTGTGCGGCATCTGCCACAGTAGCCAAGTCTGTAACAGCGCAGGTCAGCGGCAAAACCACTCTCTCCTGCAGGAACTGCGTCTGGGCCGTCGCATTGGCTGCTTCAGCACCCTCCTCTCCTTCCAACTCGACGGTTTCTCTGTCTCCTCCCCTGCGCAGATATTTCCATGGGTTATTCTTGATGGCAGTCTGATGTACAAACACGTCTTTGGTGTCATTTCGATGTATAAATCCATATCCATTTCTGGCGTTGAACCATTTGACAGTGCCAAGGACTTTGGTGGCAAGAGCTTTTTTCTCTACAGCTTTACTGTGGGCGGCAGCCAGGTCCCCACCGGGCTTCGCTGCAACGATGGTGGCGATGCAGGGCCTGGACCTGGGGCGCGCTGCTGCCCACGGCTCTTGGGCTCCACTGGCATCTATGGGAGGGTGGTGGTGGCCTCGCCTGCCTGGCTCATGTCGCCTCCTTTGCTCTCAGGCATCTCAGTGGTCGTTGGTGGGTGGTTAGCGGGGCCGGCGGGCTGTGCACTTGCCCTTGGGCTCCTCACTAGATTTTACTCGGGACAACTAAGTGCTGGGGGAGTCAAAAGTTGGGCGTGGATTTTTGACTGGGGGCGCTTGGCACCCCTAACCCTTGCATCGTTCAGGGGTCAACTGTATTGACCTTGAGGTGACGAGAGGACATGCCTGTGGAAATGTCCAGCAGGCTCAGCAAGGACAGATGTGGACAGCAGTGCAGTGACTGCCATTTGGTAGCTTTGTGACTTTACGGAAGTTACTTAACCTCTCTCAGCCTGAGTTTCTTCAGTTACAGAAAAGAGAGAATAGTATCAGCTTCACAAGATTACTGTGAAGAATAAATAAGGCTGTAACAAGTGTCCAAGTAACTGGCATGTGGTCTTTACTAAATGGCTATTATGAATGTTACCATTGTTAGGGAGTGATTCGCAAAGGCAATAGCTTAACTCAAGGGTGACTGGTTACATGAGAGAGAGTGCAGAGAGCAGAGGGTTAAAGACTGAATCCTGAGGAATGCAGTGTTAGAAAATGAAATGAGGGAGAAATCCAAGAGGAGACAGAGAAGAAGCTGTCAACAAGATAGGCCCTGGATCGTGTAATGTGGAAACCAGGCTAGTGGAGAGTTGGGGTGGCAAGGGGTGTGGGGTGCCCGCATCACTGGTGGCCCCCCAGAAGGTGTTGTTTGCATATGACCCCATTACAGTAATTAAGAAAGCATGTCAAAGAAATCTTCATCTCTGTTTGTTTTTAGGATTTGTCTTGGGAGGTGCATTTGGGGTGTTCACTGCCGGCATTGATACCAACGTGGGCTTTGACCCTAAGGATCCTTACCGCACTCCGACTGCAAAAGAAGTTCTTAAAGACATGGGGCAGAGAGGAATGTCCTACGCCAAAAATTTCGCCATTGTGGGCGCCATGTTTTCTTGCACTGAGTGTTTGGTAGAATCTGTAAGTGTCTCTGCCTTCTGAGAAAGCCTTGCTTGCTGCCATCTTACAGCTTCTGAAGAGAAATGCTCTAATGTTATTAGAAAGCAGATCAGAAATGTCCAGTACTTTTCTAGATTGGGTTTCTATTAAATAGCCCTAATGTAAACTTTTTGTTTTTATGATTTGGGCTTGCATGATCCTTTACGTCTTTTTGTAGGCTTGAGGTTGGTTAATGCTTTTAAACACGAGACTTACTGGGGAACACGAGAAGAGATTTTGATTACTTCTCAAACTCTGCACTTGGTTTCAGTGCTCTGGTACCAAGCATCTGTGAACATGTTCAAATTTTAGGAACTATACTTTTGAAAGAGAAAAAGATTAGGTTTCCTTTGGGAGGGACTAAATTAGCCAGCTAGAAACCCTGTGCTTTTCCCTCTTAACCATCTTGTTCGGCTTGTTTCTTTGGCTCTAACCTGCACTTCTCCACCCACAGTACCGGGGAAAATCAGATTGGAAGAACAGTGTCATTAGTGGCTGCATCACCGGAGGAGCCATTGGTTTCAGAGGTTAGTAAACAGCTCTCAAGCGGTTTTCTTCGTGGCCTTGGACAACATGCTGAAGTTGACGTTTCTAAACATATGAGTGTTCCAGGAACAGCCCAAAGTATATATGAACATTTGGTAGTCTTCCCTTCAGACAAATTAATCACGTTTTCTTATTTGTCCAACTTAATTTCCAGAGCTTCAGGGCATCTTATCTCGACACTATTGATATTTTGGACCAGATAAATCTTTGCTGGGGGAGAGGAGGTTGTCCATGTATTTAAGGATGTTTAGCAGCATCCCTGGCCTCTACCCACCCGATGCTAGTTTTGAGAACTAAAAGTGTCTCCAGGCATTGCCAAATGTCCCCTGGGGAGCAAAATTGCTCCCAGGTGAGAACCACTGATAGATCTAGATCTGTCTTAGAAAAAAATAACTGCCCCCATGTCGGAAATATGGGAAGGACTTCCCCACAGCAAGTATTCCTTGAGTACGTTGCTATGCAGGATAATACGGAAGAATAGCTAGGACCCACTCAGCCCTGGAAAGCCCATTTGTCCACATATCATGCTGAAATTTCAGCTCCATGCATTTCCAGTATTTAGACATTTTTCTTAATAATTTTGTGTGTAAGTTATTGTGGTAATGTCTTTCTGCAGTTGAGGATTCTTAGATTTCTGTCCATGGAAAGCCAAATATAGGTGTTCAAGAACTGTTCGATTATCAGCTGTGAACAACAGAGACAGAAACCTGTTCCCTGCCCCTTCTCCCTGTTGGCGTTCCCGTCAGGAGGGTGCTGCAGGGGGCCAGTCACTTGACTTTTCTAACAGCGTCCATGGCTGGGCCACTTTCTCTGCCGTGTCCCGACTTACCCAAAGCAAAAAGCCTGTTTTCTCATTTTCTGAGACGCAAGATGATTTGCTTTCATTAAAAACCTGCTTTTGCTCCTCAAACAGCCATTTACGATTTAGAGAGTAACTTTTCCTTTGGTCTTCCCACTGCTCGGCTTTGTCGGGGCCTCTGAGCAGCTCCGCTCCCTCTAGGACTGCTTTGATCACCTTCCCAGGAATTTATTCCATAAACAAGTCAGAGTAACAGGCCATATGCTTTCACTTGATTCTAAGGGCTGGTTTTCTTAACCAGTTTCCTGCCTGTGAGGGGCTACTTTCATGAGCCTGGAAATATTCTTTGGAATGAGAAAAGTTAAACGAACGCACAGCTTAGCTGAAGCACACTGGGCGAGGTCATGTGCACGGCTTCGTTGAAGTCTTGCAGATCCCTGATAGGTTGAATGACTTAGAACGGGTAAGCTGGCTTCTTTGCATCTGCGGGTATGCAGGCTTTTTGTGAGTGCAGTGTCACCACAGATAATGTCATTTCTGTTTGCTTTACAGCTGGCTTAAAGGCTGGGGTCATTGGTTGTGGAGGTTTTGCTGCTTTCTCTGCTGCAATCGATTACTATCTACGGTGAGAATGACTGCCTCCCAGGAAGGACAGCCCCAGCCCAGCATCGTGGCTGCTCTGAGGGGGGCATTGACTGCCCCTCCCCCCCACCCCTGCCTCGGCACTTGCTTCAGGCACTGAAGACATGGATTTCCCCTCCTATAGCTGATGTTGTGAGGGAGCTGCCTGGCTGCTGTATGCCTCCAGCCTCTGAGCAGCTACGCTGTCTGCTCCTGGACTCCAGCCAGGCCGTATGGGGATACGCCATGCCAGGCTCTCTCTCTGGCAGATTGGGAGTCAGTGCATTGACTTGTAGAAATTAAGCTCCACAAAGATTCAGTGCTGACTGCACCTGGCCCTCTGGTTGTGTGGTGCTGTGGAGCAGATGGGACTTCACACAGACCCTGGGAAGCTGTTCTGCCTGGGACCCCGCGCTGTCTCGCGTATCAGGGCGGGGCCAAGGGAACTTACGCCCTCCTGCCAGTTATGTCATTTTGTTGAGCGCTCTGCTATCCTTGTTAAAAATGTGTATTTATATTAGTTTGAGTGGTTTTATTTTCAGATTTTACAATTCCACAAAATGGTGCCATGTGGCCCAAAGAGTGAACATTCAAAGGAGAGAAATTGAGAAAGCTCCCGAGGAGTGTGGGGTTGTTAGATTCTCGGGGCTTGTAGAGTGGCGTTGCCCTTACTGAGACGTCGGCCAGGGCCTTCTACCCAGGAAGCCAGCCGGGCTGCTTCCTAGGATGTTCTGAAATCCCACACGTGAGTCCTACTGGCTTCCTCTGAAAACCTGCCTGTGGACTGGCCTAAACCACTTGTTGCTGTTCTGCTTTGAGCACTGGACTAGGCCTGGCTCGAGGACAACATGTGAAGGGTCCTGCTGTCATCCTGATGACTAAATGACAGCCAGCACTGGATAAAGTGAGTCATTGCTGAGAGGCTGTTCCCCTACCCCGGTTCCGTGGTATGTGCTCTTTCATGTTAACGTAGTGCTTTGACTTGACCTGACAGCCTTTTCTGACAATAGCAGCTCAGCCTAGTTGTGTGCCATGGGCAAAAAAAAAAATTAGCCTTTTTAAAAAAGATGGATTTTGCCTCTGGTTCTGCTTTACATCGGTAGCAAGATGAAGCTGATGAGTCTGGGCTTTTGCTCTTGGGGCAGGCAGGTGGGCTTGGTGGGGGACATAGAATCCTGGCCACCTGTAGCCGGTGTTTGTCTGTTTTCCTACTGTACAGTAACTCCTCCGCCTCATCTTTCTTCTCCCTTGCCTGCTGCCTTCTGGCCCGCCCACCCTTAACCAGATTTCAAAGACAAGGCTGGAACATCAGGCGTCCCGAGTGTGTGTGTGTGTCGTGAGTGATAATGTCAAACCCAGCGGGTAACACCTCCCTCTGGCCATGTCTGCTGTTTCCTGTGGAATGAGTGTGAGTAGTACACAGAGCTCATGTCCTTCTATGGTGAATTCTATATAATGCCTGCCCCAGTCTCACAGGCAGGAGACGTCTGTGCCGCTAGGCTGTCTGGAACGTCCTCAGAGGTCTGAGGACAAATTTAGAATTGTTGTCTACACTGTCCTAAATAAGATGTCTGTAAGCACTTTGAGAGCAAGAGCACATACTCCTACCTGGCACCTGTCAAAGTGCTAGATGCCCAGCTTCTTCTCCCAGCCAGTCTAGTGCGTAGGGTCAGACACACTGCATGACCGAGTCCAAGACACGCTGTCCTCACAACGGCCTTGGCAGAGATGAGCCCTGGGACTGTCAGTAGCCATCAGTTCAATAAGCGGAGCATTGTCCACATTGACTATTGACTCAAGAGAGGAGATGAATAGCTTCCTGTTTTAGATGGCCAAGGAGTCGGTATGACCTCATAAACCAAACACCAATTTCCAGAGACATCTGTTCCTGATCTCCAGAATAAACACAGTGTCCGATGGCTTGGGCTGGTGGGGGCCTCCGCAAACCCCACTAGCTCTCCTAAAGGGAGGCTGGGCCCTTTGGGGGACCTAGCCTTGCCACAAGCAGATTAGGCCAAAAGATGAGCCACATCCACGGAAAACGCAGAGGGAAGTTTACATAAAATAAGAAGCCTCCACTTGAAGGGGCTAATTCCTGCTCTTTCTCAGGCATACTGATGGCCACGTGTCTGGCCAGGCACTTATAGCTGGTGGCTGACCTGGAGCAAGGAGAGGGCTTGGGCTCCCCTCCCTCAAACCGCCTCAGTCCCCATGGTCCACAGGGAAGCTTGAGGGGCATTAACTCGGTAGGTGGATTCCTGGAAATGCATATCTGGATGCAGCCTGAAGAGTTAAACACACGTAGATCGGCGGTCTTCCCTGGATGGGCTACCGAGAACACAAATGTCCGCACCACAGGGTTGAGTTGTGTGCAAATGTTGGGGTTTTGCATTTTTTTTTATTAACATTTTTCTCTCACGTGGTTTACATCAATTTATAATAATCTACATAAGTTGAAACAGAACATAGACAAAAAATATATCCTTACCAACTTATTAAAGTCAAATATTAATGAAGGGTTCCATCCTACCTGTATCAGCAAAAACCAGCAGCCCGTAGTCACTGCCAGTGAGGACAGGCCGACCAGGATTCCTGGAGCATGTCTGCTGAGCCCGTTGGCACAGCCTGCCCTGCTGGGCACAGTGGCTGGGCGTCCTGAGCTGCACAGTCCCTGTTTCTCAGGAGAATCCATGGGCAAGGAGAATCCTTGGTGCAGCTTAGTCCAGGTCTGGTACCTGCCCCCTCCACTTGGGGGGTAGAATTTATAACGTTCTGAGCCTTTGCATTTCTCAGCCTTCCACCCATTCTCACACTGCCTGCACGCGGGAGCTGCAACAGCTACCTGATGCTGAGAAGTAAACATCCCTTACTTTGGGGAGGTGAGAGGCACCCATTTTTGGCTGTAACTAGCTCAAGCTGGGCCTCCAGTTCATTACCATCAATGGCTTTAGAAGCAAGAGCCTTTCGTGCCACATACTGACTCCTGAGTGCCAAGCAGAGACTCTAGGGATGGGCAGACGCTGGTATCTTCAGATTCAAGTTCTTTCCCATCTCCTGTCTCAAGGAGCAGGGCTCATAGCTAAGCTGCTAACAGGTAGCTAAATGGCCAGTATGTCCCTCCTCTTGGGCATCTCTTTCCTCTCATGAGCACAGAATGTGTACCGTTCTGCCCGATATTGGGCCACAGGTGTAAACAAGATCAGAAAGGGCCCTGCTTCTCACGGAGCTACAGCTTTAGGGCCAGCCAGTCCTCCTTTGGAACAGCCCTGAGCTCAAGCTACAAGAGCTGTTCTCTCCAATCCTGAGAGCTGGGAATCTACTCTCTGCCACACAGGATACTGTACTACAACCCAACCCCCTGCAGCCCAGGAGTGTCTGCCATTCCAGGCTAACCACCACAGGCTGGCAGCGCCTGCTCACATGGGAAGAAACAAGTATTTGGGTATACTTCGCACTCCTTTCCAGTACCAAGCAGCGGGTCCCAAACTTGGGAATGAGACCTGCTGATCGCTGACTCCGGAGCAGAGCATCAACATCAAGGGTCTCCAACAAAACCCAGTCCCAAGATGCAGTGCCTAGAACACCTCATCCTTCCCCAGCTTCTTGCGTTCCCAAAGTTCATCCGAAAGGCTGCATCGAGGAGCCAGGGTGGAGAGGCAGCACCCTGAGGGCTGGCTACCATTGGACCGCACCTGCCCACCCCAGGCCCTGGAACACACGTGGCTGGGAGGGCTGCCCTGTGGCAGTGCTTGGCTGTGGAGGATGTAAAATCTAAGGCAAAGGTACCACAAGGTACGTGAGGTGCCAGGAAGGGCTAGTCTCCTGGATGGAGCCTGCCTGGGTCTGGACACCTGCTTCAGCCATATTAGCTGCCCTCCTGGAGGCCTGGCTGCGCTAGAAAAGCCACTACAACTCGCTGCTGACAGCGGCTCCCCCCAACTCAGGACAACCAGTGCCGCGTGGCATTCCTCTGGTGTTCAACCAGTGCTGCCCAGTGGCTGACTCTTCCACCTTCCCCGAGTCTTTCCTCACCCTCTGGCTATAGCAGGTCACTCGTGAGTCTTCACACTCAAAGAAAACAGAACGCAGGGGGAAAGGAACTGAAAAGCAGTAGAAGAAACAGTCAAAACGCCTCATTGGTAGGCAGGAGACAGAACAGATAAACCCCAGAAATGGAGATTCTCAGGTGGAAAACTCCAGAAATCCGCTTTCCAGCTCTGTGCTAAGCTGAGGATTAGTGTGAGTCTGTCTCCTAGTCCAACATTTGCACAGGCAGCAAGGCAAGCAGGTGTGCTTCCACAGGTGGAGGGCGAGGGAAGGGCTGGGCGGTGGCAGGTGGCAGCCTCCGACGGGCCCCCGCGGTCACTGCCGCCCAGGGCTGCCTCAGAACTTCCAAGGTGATGGAGCGAAAACCAAGGCTGCACATGCAAACGGGCAGGCTGGGAGGGAGGAGAAAACTGAGGGGAGGCTGCCAGGAGGCTGCGATCTGGGAGCAGGGCCAAGAGAGGCTAAGCTGGCAGTGGTTACCGAGCGCCAAATAAAAGCCCTTGGACTGGACTCAGAAGGAAAGAAAGTGTTGGAGGAAACGAAAGAACAAAGCAGGCCGTCTCTGTGCCCATACCAGGTCAGTCACTACCTTTTCTGCATGACAAACAGACATAAAACAATTCCCGAACAGCATGGAGCATTAGACACAACTAGAGGTACGGAGGGCGAGAGCCCAGGGTGTGGCGGTGAGGCTGGGGGCTGGGTCAGCTGGCTTTGTACAAGGTGGCACAAAAGATGCACATATTCCAGTTCTTGGAAATCTGCGTCCCTTGGAGTCTGGAGTGCTGGGTTTGGGAGTTTTCCATTGTAGTCTTTCAAGTCTGTGTTGGGTCCCCTGGCTGGAGGGGCTGGTTTGGCCACCCCCACAGCTGCTCCCACCCGGGGCTACACATCGGTGGAGAAGTACAGTGTGTTCCGCTTCAGTTCTGCGAAGGAAATGGGGGGGTGCTGCAGGTAGTAGAGGAGGACCTGGACCTGTGGGGAAAGAGGGGAGACTGAGGCAGGGTCCTTTTACCTGCTGAGAAGAAAGGGTCCCCTGGCTGGGGTCACGTCTGTGTTGGCCCCCTTCCCTCTCAGGCTGGCTCCAGATGCTTCCCCTTCCTTGGCAGCCCAGGTGTGCCTGCCCATTTGCAGCAGTAGAGGGCGCTGCAGGGCAGAGGGTGAGGAGCCTGGGGCCACTTTGCGGCCTGTCATAAGCTTCCACCCTGTCTCCAGGGGCTGGCTTTGGCGTGGCCGCCTGCCTCAGGCTGGACCCTGCCCTGGGTCTCCTAGGGATCCCAAGGAAGCTTCCTGACCCAGAAGCAATCCTAGAGCTTCCATGCGAGAACAAGGCCCCAGCTTTTTCCTATGCCCCTGGGCTTCCTTTCCGGGACAGAGGCACTCGCTGGATCGCAGCCAGCCCCTGGGCTCCGGTCTTGGGGCCGCAGTGTAACCTCTGTTTCGGTCTGGGAGGGGCAGGACTGTCCAAAGCTCTGCCTCCCTGGTCACGGCCTACAGACCATCAGCCCAGCTGCTCAAGAGGGAAGGGGTGTGGGACTCTTGAGCTGTTCTCTCTTCACCCCTCAGGGGGGCTTGTCGCACCCCTCTATCAGCCACAGGCCCGGCCAGTGTGGCAGTACCTGTGCCATGACATCATGGGACCAGATGTCTGCAGCCGACGTAAGGTGTGCTTTGGTCTCCACTTCTGAGGGTCTCAGTAACGTGGGGCCAAACACAGTAGCCAGGTTGTGAAGGGACATTTTGTTGATGGGCTCCTTCTCAGCAACCCTGAAACGGAGTGGAGGGGGAAAAAGTATTTTGTCGGCAGCCACTTGGAGCTCCAGACCCTCGGCCTTAGGTACGAAAGCTCCTAGAAGGATTCTCGGAAGGAGGTTACTAGACTTCCTCTCTTATGGGTAGAGACCTCTTGGTAGGGAGGGAACTAGGTCAAGGGGCCAAGTCCCCAGCTGTCTCAGTACATTCCTATGACAGATTCCCAGCTCGGGAGCCACACCCTAAACTGATGG